GGGTTTAAGCTGGTGCGCGGAGACAGCGGTGAAAGTGGTGGCGACCTTGCTGCTATCGCGCGCCATCGCCACACCTGTGCGCTTTGCCTCTGTCTCTACCTGCCACATAGCGATTATTTGCAAATTATGAGGACATATGTAATTATAAATCTAAATGACTATAAACACATACAAGTGATTTAGCAAATCTAACTGCAGAATTACGAGACTCCTTTGAGAATACAAATGTAAAATATTGACACATCTTTATGAAGCCGAACAGCATTTATTAACAGTCATGTATAAAAGTCTTTTGATTATCTATAGTATAATTAATTTAATTGTAGTTGTTACCGAGCGATACAGACACAGGTGCGACCATAGACTCGATCGCGAGATGACGCGTCAACACCACTCACAAGTTTCACCTCTAACTCAAAACAATGTCAATTTGTAGTCGATAGAAACTTGTGTGCATTACTTTTACTACCTAATATCTTATGGTCGCCTGGTACTTTCATATCAACTTTGTAACTAAATCATTGTTTATTTGTTTGTATCTTCCATGTTTCTCTAACGATGAATCATTATTGTTACTGCACTAGAAAAAAATGTAATGTATGTTCGGAATGGCGAAAATTCCGACAACAGCTGATTGCTAGGATCGCGTGGGGTCGTTGACCGCACTTTCGCCCGCGTCGCGTCCGCGCCCGCTCAACCTTGCCAACACCACTGGTTCTGTGGTTCATCAATACATCTTCGGATACGATAGATATATTGCCTCCAAATTCTTTCATATATTAGTCTACATATCGACCGAATACTTCTTGCTTCGTATCTACTCTTATTTCAACGTAGTCTGTTAAGGCTCTCTATGTAGCTCTATTCGGTATGCCATTTTAAAAACACATGTCATTATTGTTATGAAATTATTAGCGCAATATAATATACACTATTAAAATATACGTCCCTCATAGGTTAGTTGGTAATAATATTGACTTTATCTCATGTAAATTATAAAGGATCCATGGGAAATCTATATTTCTGCCATGACATTAAACATGAAACTTATTTATATTAATAGTAAAATATACATATAAGACTTTTGTCCAACAAAGTTATGATTTTAATTAAAATTAATAGTAAATAATGTATGTAATGTCTAGTATAATTGAAGGTTAGTAACCTGTTTGATGATATAAAAAATATGAACAAAATTATTACATTATAGTAAGATCAGTACGAGGTCAACTTGCCGCGTAATTGTTTTATTCTAATTATAAGGATTTGTATATTAATTGACAAGCCGGAAACTGTGATGGAGAAGACGGCTCGGTGCGTGACGACGGCGGTGAAGAAACTCATGTCGCCTGAGGAAGACGACGAGGAAGCGGAGTACGACAGGGCGGACGACCTGGTAAACAGAGAGTGGTACTGCTAGACATCACCTACGGATAAATTTCATTATTGTGTTCGCTAGAAGTAATTTATTATTAACAATGTGGATATAACTTTTGTAATCGTATATTACATACATAATTGCTAGATGATTTTGTCTGTAGCTATACCATCATTTAGAGTAAAAGGTACTGATGTTTCTTACATTAGTTTCATGAAACCAGATAGGAACATTAAAGGTTCAAATAGATTTCTTGTTTTCACTATTGCAAAACAAATTGTACGACTCAGGTCTAGATAACTTGTATCCTTCGGAACTTGTGGATCTATAACGGTACATCACTAGACCTTACAAGTTTCCTAGTAAGGATGACCAACTTCAACAATTATTTTTATGTTATAGTCTTTAGTATTAATTACGCAGAATCAATTTTTTGTCCCTTTTAAAATGTCAGTGATGTTTAATCCACAATGCTCTAATTAATAATACGGTTTATTTAATCGTGTGAAAAATGTTTTATTTTTTTAATTACTTGGTGAAGTATATGACGTCGTTTTGTTATTTGTATGTTACCATGTCACCTATACAACAACATTTTATTCTACGTGTTGTACTTTTTCAATCACGTAGAGAACATTATAGATACCTTAATGATTATTAAATTGTATGTACATTTAACTTATCATATGACTAACGTATTATAATGTTACAGAATATTAACATTAAAAAAATATATCTTAAGCGATGATATTAAATCTTTAGTTATGTAACTGACCACAAGCGTAGTGTAGAGGTCACCACATCCGCGGTTAAACGTCGATGCTAATCTAACCTGTGATTTCCTTTACCTCGCAACTCCAGCTGGTTTTCCCGCGTGACTCAAACTGCATTTTCTGACGCTGATCTTGGCTATTTAATGTTAACAGATTGATTTCATAAAACATGTCAAGACGAATAAGGAATTACAGTTTACAGCTCATTGTTTACGTCATGTCGTGTTCGTTCGATATTAAACTCTAACAGAAAAACGATTAAACGGTTTCAGTGTATTTCAAACTCGCAACTCGCAAAATCGCACAAATCGTAGGTCATCACAATGTTAGGTATTGGCGGGATGTAGGAGTACAAGGTCAACTTTTGTGGAAGTTTTCCTGCAACATTAGTCACCCCAACTGTGTAAAAATGCTCATAGGTAACAAGCCGCCATACAGTTTAAATTTTATAATATACAATCATAACGATAATAACTAGGCCTCTTATCTAAAATGTTTCTTATCGCTTATCGTTTTTCAATTTAAATAATAGCTATTTCCTTGACTATCTTAACTATTTTTTATTATTATTACATCTAAAATTTTACACGTTTTATAATATTTTTGTAGAATTTATTTTTTTAAATGAGTGAATTGACTCTTTTCGGAAGTTTTCTATTTCAATAAAATTTATGATTATATTAAATTGAATTACTAGTAATCGAATTCAAATAGTACACATTCCTTGGCAGCAAAGATAAACACGTAATATTTGTAATTTAGATAACAAACGATAATGTTCTAGATTCTAGGACGTCGTAAATGGATAAAATGGATATTAAAAAGTATTTTTACACTTTAGTAAGCTGCTCTATTTTGTATTTAGTATTTTTTGTGGTATGACACAGAGCCAGGAATTTATGTTCACATCATGATACAATTTTAACTTGAATAGTTAAAGTTTCTTGTTTCCAGGCTTTTGCTCTGACAAGAAACTGTAACTTAACCCAGTTGGCTTCGGTTTTATCTGTCGGTGGATGTTGCCAAGTGAAATGGGAATGGCCTAGTGCTTGAATGTCACGAATCATCAATGCTCTGCACTCCAATGTCGCACAATGACGGAATACATATGTCTGAATCAATGACCATTGACTTACTTATTGGTTTTCTTTTCTTCGAAAGCCCAGTGCTGTTGAAAGTCTAATAATAAAGACTGAAAATAGTTAAGAGTAATTTTACTTCGCAAAACTCTGCTGAGATCGTACTGTATCATGTCTAAGTTGTTTGTGGCGGCTTATTGGTACACTCGATTGTAATTTGCTAGTTTTATTTTAATGATTATAAATTGTGTTCATCTTGTCTGTATGTGTGTGGTTAACTGAACGCTGAATTGTAATTAATTGTTGCCTTTTTAACGCTCTCCCTGGACCCGGTGGGCACGCCGCGAAGTCAGGGTCGCTACCTTTCTCCAGATGGGTAAGATATATGTCGCCGTGTGTCACTGGTATTGCATAAATAATTTGAACTGATGTGTTACAGTATCCCTAGTAACAGTGTTAATTTAATATTTTGCAAAGATATTTGAATGAACAATATACAACAAACAAAACATGTACTATTGTTTGATTTTAGTACTTGAGTAGTTATTTGCAATTTAATTAAAAAAATTGTAGCGATCAAGTCAACCGTGCTGCTGGGTACGACTGTATCAAGCGTAGATATTCCATAGAAAACAGCATTATTATGTTCTGTTCACAAAATAGATAAGATGTCAGTGTAAAATAAGTTGTACATGTTGTGTTGCAGGTGATGCAGCAGGACGTGAAGAAGGAGAACCCGCTGCAGTTCAAGTTCCGCGCCAAGTTCTACCCGGAGGACGTAGCCGACGAGCTCATACAGGAGATCACGCTCAAACTGTTCTACCTGCAGGTCCGTACTGAGATGAAAAAAACCCAGTCAGGCATCTTCATAGCCGAGCAATCGTTGTCCATAATTACTGCCTAAGCTCTAGGTTTACTTACAAATGTGTCTTATTTAGTAAGGATTGGACTTTGTTGCTTTGTTTGTATAATGCATTAATTGTTTGTTACTGCAGGTGAAGAATGCGATATTATCAGACGAGATCTACTGCCCGCCGGAGACGTCAGTGCTGCTGGCCTCGTACGCGGTGCAAGCGCGCCACGGAGACCACAACCCCGCGCTGCACGGCGCCGGCTTCCTCGCCAACGACCGGCTGCTGCCTCAGCGCGTCACCGACCAGCACAAGGTCCTCCATCACATCTCACAACACTTATCACCTTTCTCTAAAAATATATTATGCACATTATCTCTATTGCTGATATCATTGAGATATCTTGTTTGACTTTCATCACATATTTGCACAAAGTGAGATAGTGGAACATATCAGAGTGTATATTGATTGTGCGGTGTGCAGATGTCCCGCGAAGAGTGGGAGCAGAGCATCACCAACTGGTGGCAGGAGCACCGCGGGATGCTGCGCGAGGACGCCATGATGGAGTACCTCAAGATCGCGCAGGACCTCGAGATGTACGGCGTCAACTACTTCGAGATCCGCAACAAGAAGAACACCGAGCTGTGGCTGGGCGTCGACGCGCTCGGACTCAACATATACGAGAAGGATGACAAGTCAGTGCTGCACGCTATTATACCTTTAACGTTGATCGTTTCAACTAGTCTTGTACAGTTATGCAATAAGCTAGCTTTTTAAAAAGTGTACTCCTTCAATTTTAACCTTTAATATAAAGTTACCGATTAACAACTTTACCGCGTACGTTTCCAGGCTGACACCTAAGATCGGTTTCCCGTGGTCGGAGATCCGCAACATCTCGTTCAACGACCGCAAGTTCATAATAAAGCCGATCGACAAGAAGGCGCCGGACTTCGTGTTCTTCGCGCCGCGCGTCCGCGTCAACAAGCGCATCCTGGCGCTGTGCATGGGCAACCACGAGCTGTACATGCGTCGTCGCAAGCCCGACACCATCGACGTGCAGCAGATGAAGGCGCAGGCGCGCGAGGAGAAGCTCGCCAAGCAGGCCCAGCGCGAGAAGCTGCAGCTCGAGATCGCCGCCCGCGAGCGCGCAGAGAAGAAGCAGCAGGAGTACGAGGACCGTCTGCGCCAGATGCAGGAGGAGGTCGAGCGCTCCCAGGTACGCGCCCGCTACACGCCCCCCTCCACACTCCCACCACACACCCCCTACAACCACGCCTCCGCTTGTGTCCGCAGGCCAACCTCCTGGAGGCGCAGGACATGATCAGACGGCTGGAGGAGCAGCTGCGGCAGCTGCAGGCCGCCAAGGAGGAGCTGGAGCAGCGCCAGAACGAGCTGCAAGCTATGATGCAGCGCCTCGAGGAGACCAAGGTACACGCGCCCGATATTCTTGTCTCATCATTTTTCGTCTCATCGATACTTATGTATGCCATTTTATGCGAAAAACATAGAGACGAGGCAATTCAACAACTTTATATCGATTTGTAAAAATATCCAGAACATGGAAGCCGCGGAGCGACAGAAGCTCGAGGAGGAGATCCAGGCGAAGCAGGAGGAGGTGTCGCGCATCCAGCAGGAGGTGGAGCAGAAGGACAGCGAGACGCGCCGGCTGCAGGAGGAGGTGGAGGAGGCGCGCCGGCAGCAGGACGCCGCCGCCGCGCTGCTGGCCGCCGCCGCTACGCCGCAGCACCACCATCTCAGCGAGCGCACGGAGCGCGACGCGGAGCGCGAGGACGGTGCCGCCGACGGCGAGCCCGACGCGGAGGGCTCCGACGGCGGCTCCGAGTCCGGCGGCGGCGAGCTGGCGCGCGGCCCCGACGACCTCGTCGACCCGCTCGACGCGCGCCGCACCCTCGCCGAGCGCAGCGAGCGCCTGCACAACCAGCTCAAGGTACACCCACCCGCACCCATCTCTCTACGTCTATTACACTCGGCTCGACCGTTCGACATTTATATTATTATAACGTTTTCCTTACAGGCCTTGAAACAAGACTTGGCGCAGTCACGCGACGAGACGAAAGAGACGGCTATGGACAAGATCCACCGCGAGAACGTGCGCCAGGGCCGCGACAAGTACAAGACGTTGCGTGAGATCCGCAAGGGCAACACCAAGCGCCGCGTCGATCAGTTCGAGAACATGTAGGCCCCGCCCTCGGCCGCGCCCACAGCGCCCGCAGCGCCCCGCCCGCTCCGCCGCGCGCCCACACCGCCCACAGCGCCCACACCTACACGCCAACACTACTCTGTATTACTTTGTAAGATATATACGTCACAACCGAAATGTTATTCCGTCGCAGTAGGATATATTGTAGCGTAACGCATCAAGCCGATATTGTAGCGGCCGAGTCGCCGCCACCGCCTGCGGATACATCGCGAGCCGCTCCGACAGTCTGTCACACTGTTTGTGCATTTGTAAGTTTGAAATGAATCAGTTTACACACAGTAAAGCTCACGGCTGACTGCGATGTGTCCAGGGCGCGGGGCGCACCGTCCATAACTCCGCGAGAAATTAGACCTCATTACATAGTGCGAAAGCTCAAATTAGGTGTCGGAGCAGCCGGAGCCGGCGGCCGGCGCTAGTCGGGTCTAAGTGTAAATATTGCTTATTACATATTAGTAATTTTATTTTAGAATATAATGTGCTATAACCGAATAGTCGAGGAGCGTGGCGCGACCCGCCACTGCACACACCTTTGTTTTTATTATTAATTATAAGTATTTTGGATTTTAATCGATAACTACTTTATATATCGTGCGCCGAATGTCAAACAAACACCAATATATTTGAGGATACTTAAATTTATTGAGAGTCTTGCTCAAAGGACGTCCGAAGTGTTTTTGAGCGTGGGGGTGAGAGGGAGGGGGGCGTCCCCCTTATTTATTTTTATAATCATTTATATCGTAGATGTAGGTCGAATAGAGCTTCAAGTGTAATTACGCCGGTCCGTTCCCGCGGCGCTCCAGCGCGTGGTAGCTCGCAGGCGCCTCACCACACACCCGACACTAACTCTGCCAGATGTTTTATTGTATGCTTTATACGATGTGTATAATGTTATTTTGTAAGTGACTTTTGAAGGCATTCCATATGTTACAATGCGGTCGCGTGTTCACTTGATTGGGTGACAAATAGTTGCAATAATTAGTACGAGTCGTTTGTAATGTGAGTGCCATCGGCCGCGCCGCAGCCGTGTCGCAGCCGTGCCGCAGCCGCGCCGCCGCCGCACCGCCGCCGCGCGTTGCGACCTTTCCAATCTTATACTATACCATGTTGCCTTTCAATCTAGGACGAAATTTTTTTCAAATAAAAATGTTTAAGTAAAATATTGATCGTGTTTTATTAATTCAGTGATGATACTGTCCCGAGTCCCGTGTCCCCCGAGCTCATCTCTGTCTCTGTATTTTTTATTTTTTGTTCCGTGTGTTTATAAAAATGCTGAAAATTCAGACGACATGCTGCAGAAAAGAAATAAATCTCGATAATTGACAAAAATATATTTTATTGTACTATCACAATGTATTTCATTTTATACAATCTATTTTCAGTCCTATAAATAAATAAGCTCTGGGGTCTCTTCGTTGGGACCAGAACAAATAAAACATTTTCTCTTAAACATGTGGTTATTGGATTGTGATGTCATTTTACATATTACTTCACTTTTCCTAATATTCATAATTGTTTTACTAAGAAATATTAAGAAACTTCTTAAGTTTCATAAAGTCACTTGAACAAGTTAGTTACTGTTTTTCTCAACTCTACTCCTTTTAGATAGGGTTCTAAGAAGATTGCAGCAAACTTGAGAATCATATGAGGGAGGGTCATTGTTGTGTCATGGCGGGGGGCGTGTCCACACTGTGTAGGGTCGTGACCACACTGTACAGAGGCGTGGCGACACTGTGTTGGGGCGTGGCCCGCGGGGGGTGTGGCACGCTGCGCAGGTGCCGCAGCAGCGAGCTCTTGTCGCCGAAGGGACGCGCGCACTCGCCGCACTCGAACACGCGGCCGCTGTGCACGCGCATGTGACGAGATAGTCCTGTACAATATTTTTAAACGATAAACAAGACTATAACATTTATTAAACTAAAAGGAATAGAAATCGAAGTTATTACAATCAGTGTTAATTTACCGGAGGCGTAGAGGAAGACCTTATTGCAATGCGGGCAGGGGCGCAGACTGAGAGCGCGCCGCTGGGGCTCCGCGTGCGCCAGCGCGTGCGCGTCGAGGGCCGCCCGCTGCGTGAAGCTCTTGGGGCAAATAAGGCACTGGTGCGGACGCTGCTCTGCACACACACATTGCACACTTACATCATTACCTTTTGAAATATTTAAGCATCAAAATTAATACGTCATTGTACTGCAAAAATCTTCACAATTACTCCATTTAATTTTTGAATTATTACGAGTTTGTTGAAATGTTATGGCGATAAGTATGTGGGTACCTCTGTGTACGAGCTCGTGGCGCAGCATGACGGAGCGCTGGGCGAAGGTGCGGCGGCAGACGCGGCAGGCGTGCGGCCGCTCCCCGGAGTGCACGCGCTCGTGTCGCCGCAGCGCGCTGCGCGACGCGAACTGCTTGCTGCAAGTCTCGCACCGCACCCACTGACCCACCCCCGACACGCCCTCCGACACACCCCCCGACACTACACTGCTATATATGTTTATTTTTACAACATTTTATTTAATTCATTTAGGTTTTTAAAAGTTGCAATTTAAAAAAATGTTAATGTTTGATCATTTCAAAAATCTTTACTGTATGCAGTCACGGTTACTTATAATACTTCAAAGTTTTTCTCTAATGTAATGTACTTACATCTTTCCATTGGTATCTTGTTCTAACTTTATTGAAGCATTTTTTTCTGAAGTCTGAATACTATTAACACTATTACTGGTACTGATAGCATTGTCACTTAAATGGTTCTCATTATTATCCTAAAACCAAACATTTAACTTTGTTAAGAATTTGTGTTCAAAATCATACATTTCACAAGCCTTAACTCTTCACAAAAATTCCTTACACCGTCTTATCTGAAGAAAATTCAAACCTAATGTTTAGATGCAATACTTACCTCACTTGAGTCATTCATGCAGATAGACACAAGACATACTAAGTATATAATATACTATAATCACAAACCTGATCATCTTCCTCAGTGAGCTCCACCAATACCTTTCCACTGTGAGTCTCTATTTCTAATGCCTTCACATTAGGGTTATTTAATATAATCTTTTCATCTTTTGTTTCAACTACACCTAGTTGCAAAAGAACCGTTTTCAGAAATGCTTCAAAACTAGGCTCCACTTTTTCTGATTCAACTTTTGGCTTACTTTCTTGAATCTGCACAAAAAGACTTTTAAGTTTAGTTATTTTTAAGCTTGTAAGAGACTGACTAACTGACTGTATAAAATCTTATTTTACTTATAGCCTGGAAGAATTAAGGGTTTTTTTTAATTCCTCCTTGCTAGTTGCTTGTTGCCGTGAGATGTCCACAGGTCAATACTGCCTAAAAAATAAAAATGTACCTACCTCTTTTTTTGTGTTGCTGTGTAAGTTGCCATTATTTTTTTTATTTGCTAGCCTATTAGCATAGGTTTTGACACTTTTTGTTTCTTTACTAACTAATAATAATGAATCATTGTTTTCTTGTTTAACAGGTGTTTTAACAATGCCTTGGTTCTCTAATATTTTTTTATTTTCCCTCACAGCTTTAGCATGTAACTGTAGCTTTTTGTTAGTGTCTTCACATTTTTTTCGAAAGATATAACACCTTTCAATTTCTCGATAGCACTGCTTACACAACTTATTAGGGAGACAATCGTCCATTGAGACCTAGGGGTTTTAAGAAATTTTGTAGTAACGCTTACATTTTTTAGTATATATTCGGCAAAAACTTATAGATAAATACCTCAATCCCCACACACGTCGATATCCGCGAAGCTACATCAGGACAGGTTTCAGGTTTGGGGTCTCTGTAAATTGGTAAGCTGTCTTCTGTCTTACGGAGACATAATCTGCATAGTTTGTGCACGTCGGGAATAATATCAATATCTTCAAGAAAAATGTGTGTGCTTGCTCCCATCTCTTTATACTGCTGTGTAGCATAGTTGTTAGAAGTATAAAAACATAGTACAAACTATACCAGGCCTTCTCATTAACCTATTATTTCATATATCCATGTTGAAAAACACTTTATAGTCATCAACACAGGTAGGCGCAGGCACCGTTAATCCACAAGTTAACTTCGTTAATCGTTGATTGAAAGTTTACTTTGATAATATGGTGTGTCTATTTAAGATACATTAGTTTGACAATTAATTTGACAATTCACTAGATATGGGCAGATATGGGTTGAGTAAAATCGATTAAGATTTTTTTCGATTGTTGTTCTTGTAAAACTTGCAATCGAAAATTTCGTGATCGTTATTTTTGAACAATATAAATACAATTATTTCTTCCTATTCCTACTTTATCCTTCATAACTATCATACATAAAGAAGTAAAACATTGAACCAAATATTGTTTTTTTTAAATTAATTCTGCGATACATAGCCAAACACTGTAATAAATTCGAAAATAAATAAATTTTAGTTAATAATATTTTAACAAGATCGATACTCGATAGTTCACAATTATTCGTTGTGCGCGTACAGTCGAAACTGGTCGAAACTATGACAAATAACAACCGTCCATTAAGAACAACATGAATCGTCATACAAAATTAGTCCACACTTCACATGCGTCAGTTGTCAAATTAATTTGCTCTTGCATGCATATATTCAGGTTTGAATGTATTTGATTTCGCGATAGGACAACTTATTAGATAGACGTGTGAAGTCTGGTTGATCAATAAATCTAATTTCTTACTATTATTATAAATGCGAATGTTTAGACGGTTGGATGGATGGGTGTTTGTTTGAAGGTGTCTTCAGAACGGCTGATAGGATCTCGATAAAATTTTACATACATATAGAACATAGTCTGGAAGAACACGTAGCTTACCAACCGCGGGCGACCCCTACTAGACATATAAATCTTAGTATTAAATAACTGAACGTTGAAATAAAAAGCATTAATAACATTTTACAAAGTCTTATTTATTTTAAAATGGCAGTCAACAGTTTTATTATCTTGGTTACCACATTTAACATTACAAAATGTTGAATATTCATTACAAAGTGTTGAACATGTAAAATAAATGCATTTTGTACTAGAAACAATTTTTAATTTTTTAAATGCACAGCCAATGCCTAGGTCAGGGAATAAAAATTCTCTATCTTGTTAATTTCTAAAATTGTCTATAAAAATACAATTTCTTCATCATAAGTGGTAATGATTATAATATTTTCCTTACGCCTAATTATTTGTATAAAAATAGGAAAACTTAGTTAACATGATGTAAAAAGACGTACTAAAATTATCTAATGTATATCATTGATTTTCGTACATTGTAAGTGTAAATATAACGCCCTATTGAGATTACATTAATAATATTAATGAATTCATCTCTAATTATTTTGATATATTGATTTATTTGCATTTTAAACAGATTACAAATATATAAAAAACATATAAGACACCTAAGATTAATTAATTCGGTATTACATTCAAACAGTAATTCATAAAAAAATTATCCCAAAAAATACAGTTGGACACTGTTTAGTTAAACACGTGTTTTAACCCTTTGATTGCTGGTGATTTTGCCCCTTGACATGATGATGTGAATGTAAATCAAACATTATATTTTTACTTTAAAATGTATCACCAAAACTACTTTACATATAAGTACTCTGTTATTTGTCAAGATATTGTTTCGGAAGCCTACGCATAGTAATAATAGTAAAGACAGTCTTTAAATTTTATACATTAAACAGGCTGCCATTGACTTATATAGATAAAGCTTTTCTGCTCTTTTGTATATTTACATATGTGAAATAATTACTCTGAGTTATTTGCATTGAAATATTGTGATTATCTTGGCAAATAGTTTTTTTTTTCAATATTTCATTTAGTTTCTCTTAAATCTATAATTAACTAATTTAAAAACCATTTTTTTTCACCAAACTTATTTTCCAAAAAGTTGCACTAAGTTTCCGTTAACTATTATATTAAAAAGTGAATTACTTTGATACCTGTAAAACTTTTCCTTTTTACTTTTACCCTTTAAAAGAAAAATTTTCGAGTTCCTATAATTATATATAAATGTTAGGAAATGTGGAATTAATAAGTATTTGTAACAAATTAAAGTTTGGCATCGAAATATTTAAGTTCACGATCCTCTGGGAGCTTCTTAAAATAATTTTCTACATAATCTTCTGTGACGTCATCCAGAGTCTTTGGGTTCCACTGCGGGTTGTTGTCCTTGTCAATGAGGAGAGCTCGGACACCTGACAGCACATGAATAACATTTTTAATGATTGCTCATTGAAATCATTACAGTAAATAACTGAATCGCGTTCTTTGTATTATTTCATGTTATTAAATTAACGAAACATTCTGCAGTAAAACATGTTTGGTAAAACTTACATGGATTGTCTAATCAGCTTTAGCTGTTAACCTGTTAACACTTTTAACCCATTCACTACAGATTCATTTTTGTTATTGGTCAAGTACATACCTTCAGGGAAGTCATGGTTCTCAGTGGCTCGGCATGCGAGGCGGTACTCCATGCGCAGACACTGTGGCAAGTCCAACTGCGCGCCACGCTGCAGCGCTCGCAGGGTTATCTTCAGAGAGCCTGGACACATCTGGCTCAGAGTCTGGAGGACAATACAAGACACGATAATTTACTATAGTAACTAACAAGATAATAGTCACTGGCACATTATAATAGATTAAGAATAAACAGACCTTTAAAGTTTTAATTGACCAGTCATTCTGCACTTTCTGCAGTCTCTCGATGATTTCCTCAATAGTGGATGCAGCAAAACAGTAGTTGATGTGTTTGATGTTGGAAGCTAATGAGAACTCTTCGGGAGGCTCATTAAACTTGTTGAGCAAATTACGGATCTCCGAGTCATTATTGCAGCGAGATAGAAGTTTCTCCAGCTCAAACAAACGTCTACTTGGCACAAAATGAGTTGCTATTCCAGATTTCACAACATCTTTTGCTTTTAACCTGTCACCTGTAAAATACCTTCATTATCTATATCCATATATATAAAATTCAATTCCTCTTTGTTAGACTTGCTAAAACTCGAGAATGGCTGAACAGGTTTATTTTATCTTGGTCTTAAAATGTTCGCGGAGGTCTAGGGAAGGTTTAAAAGGTCAGAAAAATTCGAATAACTGCTGAAAACTAATTGAGTATTTTTTTTATTCCACGCAGACAGAGTAGCGGGTAACTGCTACTTCATTTTTGTATTAAGGTTTGGAATGGAAAGATTTATAAATAACTACACCCTTTTCACAGTACTCATAAGAGTATTATTTATAAGTGTTTACCTGTCAAGCCTAGATATAATCCTAAATTGACCTGCAGCCGGGGCAGAAAGTATGACCCGCCCACATCTGGGAACAGTCCTATCTTAGTCTCTGGCATGGCTATCAATGTTTTCTCGGTAGCAATCCTGTATCTACCATGTACGGACACACCAAGACCACCCCCCATAGTGATACCATCCATAAAAGCAATGTATGGAATCTTGTATTTTCCTATTAAGTAGTTAACATTATATTCTGTGTGAAAGAATTTAGGTCCTTCCACCCTGTCTATTGCAGATTTGACGTCACCCCCAGCACAGAATGCCTTTTCTCCAGCACCTTTTATGATAACCAAGCCTTTACTTCTCTCCCATTCTTGCAGTTGCGGCAGCATCATTGTCACCATGTTGGTATTCAAGGAATTTAATGCCTTTGGTCTGTTGAGTGTGATTACTCCGGCATTGTTCAATGTCTCAAACAACACTTCCTGCTCTTGTGATGACATCAGGCGATTGAAAATTATCGCCGTGTTCCTAGTCAAATTGGTGCCTAGTTTAAACATCTGGAATATAATTTTTTTTTTAAATATGTAGTTCAAGTAGATATGTAAACAAAATAACTATAGATAAGAATTGATAAAAATTAGTGTCTAAATATCTACTTACATAAACTAAGAAGATTTATAATACTTTAAAGTGTTTATTAAGTTATTTATTTAAATTAAAATAAGTTTTAAATTCTAACTAATGCGGCTAGCATCACTAATAATTGTATAAAACTATTCATATAATTTTCACAAGAAAGGTATTTATTGAATTAATTAGCTATGTTACGTAATAAATTAAGGTTATACTTACGTTGAACTTGAACCTTATCAATATTCATTAAATGTTACACGACCTTCAAGTTTCTCAGAAAAACAAAGTCGAAACCTCAATACACTAGATTTTTTGTTAAATAGTATTTGGAAATATATCTTGAAGGAATTACTTGTTAGAAGTATTATTTTGTGGTGCGAAAGACAAAATTTCTCTTAAGCATTAAGTGTCAAGATGCCGGTGATTACAAATTGCAATTTTGCAAACACAAAATTGGGACCAGCTGCAACAAGTGTTTTCATTTTTTTTGGCGATTTGGCAACACTTTCAAAACTTTATTAACTCAAAATTCAATCAACTGTACCGTGAATCCTTAATGTTAATATTTCTTTTATGCTATTATAGTTTCATTAGTTCTTAATTGAAGTTTATTTTATTGTTAACTACGAGCACGGCGAGGTTAATTTCGAAAGTTCAGTGAAAGTTCCAAGTTTAGAGATCGGTTTTTGACATTAGTGTTAATTGGCACATTATCTGGCAATATTCGAATTCAGTTGTCAAATGTCAATTATTGTCAATATATCAAATTCAGAAGAGAAGACCGCATATAACGCATTCTAGCGTATTATTTTGTAATTTGTATTTACCAATTTACCCTTGAATTAAAAGATAAAGTAAGTGGACCGTAGAAACAATGGGAGTTATTAGGAAAACATTAAACTGGTACGCCAGATTAAGTCCTAGTCGTGGTAAAACATCACCTCCATATGAGCATGTCGTTCAAATTGGAGATCCTAGGTTACGTAAAACTTCAGAACCAGTACCGATAGATAAAATAAAAACGAGTGAAGTACAAAAAGTGATAAAAACACTGGAATATGTTGTAAATAAATACGGCAGTGTTGGTATGTCGGCACCACAAATCGGTATAAATATGAGGATATTTGTAATGAAACTAACAGCACAACAAGTATCAACATTTCCCGCAGAAATTGTTAAAATGAGGGGTATGAGCGTTGTACCTTTGACTGTTAGTAAGTAACTCTAAAAACTTATCTTTATTGTTTTCATGATGAGACAGTTACTATGATTAAGTTATTCCTATAACAGAGATTTTCTAATGTATTTTTTTTGATTGCAGACTTTCGTAAATCCTACACTGAAAGTGGTTGACTATATAAAAGTAGTACATCCAGAAGGCTGTGAAAGTGTCAGGTCTTTCTCTGCTGAAGTTGCAAGATATAAAAAAGTTCAGATTTCAGGTGTGTTTGCTTAACTCAGCTGCTTGCTTTACTTCATTAATTTCTCTATTTTGTTTCATTAGATGAAATTGACAAGCAAGTTTTTTATAACATTACAATATGGAATATTCTATAATCTCAGGCTATGATCAAAATGGGGATCCATTACAAAGAACATACTCAGATTGGGCGGCGAGGATAGCTCAGCATGAGATAGACCACTTGGATGGGAAGCTGTACACAGATATCATGGACAGGAAGACAATGTGCTGTGTTTGCTGGGAGGAGGTCAACTTGTCCAAGGGAAAAGTTGCAATACCTTTTGCTCCAGAATAATTAACCAAGGATAACTGTTTTACATTTTATTTTAAACCTAACTTAATATCATTAAATTATATTCTACCAAGATTAGTTCCTCATGGAAACTTTTTGTGCAATTTAATATTACATGATATAGGTAAAGAAGGAATAAAAAAACGAATTAAGCAAGGATATTATGTTTATTATGCCTTAATAACACCTATATGCGCTTCATTACAAATGCACATTGTAACATGATATATGTCTTTTTATTACATTGCTCCTATAAATGTAAGCAAAAACAGCAATAACTTAGATATTAAAAATTATTACATCTCAATAAGACTATTAAAAATGTAATTGGGAATGAAATAAGGAGGTTAGTATATGTTTTAAACTGTCATGGTCACAAGAGGGGACTACGACGAATTTACTCTGATTCCAATGAATAATGTTAGCTTGAAGCAATATTAAATTTTAACTAAGCTGAAATTTTAAGTTGCTTGTTTTAGATTTTTTATCTGTGCTCGATACTTAATTTAGGGAAACATTTTATAATAATGTGAATTTGATGAGATGCTACATCTAGTCCCCTTCTACTAAATTCTTCATATAAAAATTATTAAATGATGAATTATTAAAGATTTGAAATATCCCCATAAAAATTCTATAGTTTCAAGACCTGCTTTACGTAGCTGCACTAATATATGTTAGTTTTACATACAAATTCTTACAGTTTTCTTATCTAATAATAAATAGGAGAAGTTTATTCTACACAATAATGCCACAGTAATAAATTTGTTAATATTTTGGTTGAATGGTTTTTATGTTGTGCAGTATGATGACAACATCAGTGAAGTTAACATTTATATCTAAAAGCATTGAGTGCATATTGAAGTATATTACTTAAGTAACAATTATTCCTTTCTTGATACATTGCCTATTTCTTAACTCAACTTCCAACTATACAACCTTCATACAACTATTATTCTTTCCACAATCAGTCACAACAAAACATATATATATGTATATTTATATACATATATTTATACATACATATATAGTACATTCTTTCAGTAGAGATATCAGAATTCATTACAGTAAACGCAGTCCGGTATCCTCTGAAGATCACAATATCCAACCGCATTTGATGTCCCATTCTATCAGTTATCTGTAACATTATAATATAGTAAATTAGAGATGATAATTGTTTAACAAAGTGATTTTGAAACTGGTCAAAAATAGCAATGATCTGACCGCTCACCTGAGCGGGTTGCTGGCGAGCGAGGTGAGGCTGGTGAGGGAGGGCGGGCCGCTAGCCGCTAGCCCCAGCCGCTCCGTGTCCTCGTCCGCCTGGTTGTTGCGCAGCTCCTGCAGCGTCATCATCAGCTTGCTCCACTCGTCGTGCCGGGGCTGAGCCACTTGCTGCAAATTGTAAACTCTTAGATATACGATGTCTAATGATAATGATGTAAGGCTAGCAGCGAAGTGTACCTCGGCGAGTTCGTACACCCATATCTTGCCGGCGTCGTCTCCGGCGACCACGTGCGTGCCGGACGGCGTCCACGACACGCGGTTGAACGCCGCGCCGCCCTCCGCCTGGATGGACGCTATCGGCACCTGCAATACAAATATTTATTTCACATTATCGATGTTTGCAACCTCCGTTCTGGATATAAAGGGTGTCAAAGTCCCGGGGGACGTCACCTCGGTGTCCCTATTGAGGTTCCAGAGGTCGAGGCGACCAGCTGCGTCTGCGGCGGCAAAGAGCGCGGGGTGCGCGGGAGACCAGCGCACGTCCGACACGTAGTCGCCGCTGTCCTCGAACGAGTACAGCGCCTTGTTCTCCTGCAGTAACATTCTTTATGATATATCAATGAGTTTTTGGACGTTTTTCCTGGAGTCGTTGACACGACGTGTGCGTACCTTGAGGCTCCAGAGCTTGACGCTCCAGTCCATGGAGGCTGTGAGGTAGAGGTGACCGAGGTCGAGTGCTCCGGGCGCGGCGTGGCACGCCACAGCCGTCACAGGGCCCGCGTGCGCCTCCACGCACTCGCCCACACCCGCGCGCTGCCCGTGCCGGCAACCTGCGCGCGCACACACAAACACACAGATATATAACACTGTACATGAACAGTATGACAGTGAGACGATGTGTATCGAGGGCTCACCGGTGTATATGTTGCCGTCCTCGCTGCCGAGCACGAAGTTGTTCACGTCGCCGTGGGGGAAGGCCATGGCGCTGACGGCGACGGCCTTGCTCTGGCGGTGGTGCAGCTCCAGCGTCTCCTGGGGCTGCGACAGCATGTCCAGCGACCACGAGCACATGCGCCCGTCCGTCGACACGGAGATCAGGTTGTGCGCGTTCTGGCTGCCCACCACCGACAGGCAGTATACCGGGTGCTGAAGACATACAATATCGAACATTTTAGGATTCTAAGCAAAAATATAGTGTAGTTTTGGAGGAGTTACTCTTGAATTGTTTTAAGGTTCGTATGTGTTACAATATAATGCGCGTGTACCGTGTGCGCGAGCGAGGAGAGCGGAGTGCGCTGTATGGGCGTGCGCTTCTGCACGCGGTTGTCCCACAGCACGATCTGGCCCGAGTACGTGCCGCCCAGGATCAGGTTCGGGTGGAACCTGCGCGAACAAACACGATATAAGACAATGTATACATGTGAAACCATCGAAGGTACAGAGGCGAGAACGGTAGAGACCTGGCGAACGTGGCGCTCATGACGGGCGACTGGCAGTGGAAGATGTCCTCGGGCGTGGTCTTCTTGAACTTGGTGTTCCAGACGAGGCAGACGCCGTCGGGGTCGTGCGGCGCGTCGTCGCTGTTGTGGTACGAGGCAAGCAGCAGCTCAGGATGCGCACTGGACCAGTCGAGGCAGGTGACGCAGCGGCCGCGAGACCACCGCTCGTCGTAGAACGTGCGCACCAGCGACAGCCGCGCGTCGGACTTGTCGTCCCTGTCACGATGTGCGCATGTAATATTGCTTGGTGAGGGAGGGAGAGTGGCGAGGAGCGATGTGCGGTGTGGTGTACTGACTGTGCGTCCTGCGCGTCGCCGCCGCCCGTGTAGTCCGTGCAGATGTCGACGGACTCCGCCAGCGCGCGCTCGATGACGCGCCCCGCGCGGCTCATGAACTTCTGGAACTCCGCCGACAGCATTATCGTCTGCTTCTCGTCCGTGCTCAGCTCCCGCACTGCACGACGCACACACGATAGTATCAACCGAAGCTTTTGCTACGAGCTCTTTTCTTCATCATTGTATAGCTAATTAATATTTAATTTGAATATAACGGAAACCCAACTGACCTTTCTTCTCCTCCTCTTCCTTCTTCTCTTGGGGGGCGTCGGTGACAGCGGGCTGGACCTCCTTGACGGTGGGCAGGCCGTGCGGCAGGATGCCGGGGGGCAGCTTGCCGTGGAATGCGGCCTCCTCCTCGTCGCCTTGCCGCGCGCCGTCGCCGTCGAATGTAAGCACTGGACGGTGAATAAGGATGGCCCTCGCGCGGCCCGACACGACACGCCACCACAGCGCGCCACACGGCACGACACGACACGGCATGGCGCGGCGCCGGCCGAAGCGTGCGCAGTACGGCCGATTTATTTGCCACGAATGCTTGTCTCATCGTCTTCACAATTTGTGTAGACTAACTAGCTCGAGTTATGTTTTAAGTGGATGATACTTTGTTAATGCTTTTGCCTCGTGTACTTCGCCAATATGATGTTGCCAAATGGATGATACTAGTAATTTGTCACATAAATCTGCCGTACAAGAATACTAATTTCATGAAGTTACTATTTCAATATTAAATTTAAATTTCAAGTATTTTAGTAATCATTCAGAGTTATGTCTTTGAGAAGAGATAAGATTTTGACGAAATTTTCAACGGCGAAGAATTAAAGAAAAAACTTTTAATTTGCCATAAAAATTCCGTCTATAATAACTTCATGAAACTTTATGGCTGCAATAGCTCTGGTATATTTAAATTGGTGGTGAATATAGAAAGTGAGCCGACTCTAGAAGACAACAACTCTATGGTCTATAAGAAGCGTCTATTGTCTATGGTGTAAAATGGCCACGGACAGCGTGTTGTTAGCTAAGCATGCCACCACAACCGCCACAACTACTAAATAAAACTCTTAACAACTCGATTTAATATATTTTTCTATGCGCATCCAATACCAGCTTCTTTATTTAAGGTAGGAAATAAAAGTCTAAACAAAATTTCTTTTTAACGTTATTTTGGTTAAAATAACCAGATTTAAAAACAATAATTTACATTCAATAAGTTCATATGAATTTTTAAATATTATTAACACTTTTAAAATACGTAAGTTACAATGCTGAAAATGTATGGCTATGAATGAAGTTAAATAAATATATAAAACGAAAAGCCTAACTTTCATACGCTGAAATCTTGCCTGACAGAAATGCAATCTTAGTGTCGATCCATTAATTTCTTCATATTAACTCACAAATAACATTTCCTATCACATATTCTAAAGCTAAAGTTATGTATAATTATAAACGACATGTTAGAGCTTGAAATGTGTGTATGCGAAAGCTAAAAACGCTTCAAAATAAATCGGATCTCAGTTAATTAACATTGCAAATACTTTTGCCTTATTCTATTTAAATAAAAAAGAAACTGATCCATGAACATGAACAAAACAAAGTAACGTGTAAAAGATATTTATCAAAAAAGCAATAAACAATTTTGGTGATAAAAAGCTTACTGTTATGCAAAAAAATCAAACTTCCCGAGCTCTCCACAAGAGAGATATGTCTCATATAAAATAAATATATAAACAAAAACATGATGACGTCATGTCATGCCCAGATATTCTGACACATGCAATATTGTAAAATACTATAAGCGTATGTCGGGTCGGAATATATAAATGTTAAGTGTAGTTATATTTACTTTTATTTATCAAAATATAGCATAATATATTGCTTTGAGCATTTCAAATAGAATAGAAATAATCACCAATCCGCATGTATATACAGGCTGTTTATTTTTGTCTAAATTTAAAACATATTATAACTCCATAACTATCAAATATAAACGGTTTATTTTTTTTATTTATTTATGAGATATTATGTTGAATAAACAAACAACCT